AAGCATCATGAAGAGGAGGATGAAGAAGAAGAAGAAGAAGTGGCGGTAAAAAATTCCAACTTGCCCAATTACCTGCTTGGCAGTCTGAGTACTGATTTTGGTGTACAAGCCCCTTTGTTGTCAAGCCAATTGGAACTTCATTCCAGAGAGGAGAAAATAAACCAAATTATATTACTGAAAGTAGGTGAATTTTTTCTTTATCCTCTAAAATCTCTAAAACTCCCCATGAGGCATCTTGCAAAGGCTCAAATTGAAATCTAATGCTAACCAAATGATGTCTTTAAGGTACATAGAGAAATATCCAGATGGCTAGTGTGTCCATGTTCTTCAAACAGAACTTGTGTACAAGAGTTGCTTTCATCTCTTTGGACTGGGTTCTATGATAACAGGTTTTCTGAAGAATACCTACCCTAGCTGACACCACAAACAAACTCTTCTTCTACTTAGATTTTCAGTAAGCTCAAAGATAAGAGAGATCCTTGAATGCCATCTTCTAGGTAACTCAGATGTCTGTTAGATCAAGATATGATTGCTTATCTATCCCCTTAACCTGGGGAAATACAATTTCCTCTCTAAGACTTCCATAACTTCTCTTCTGGGACTCAGGAATAAGGTGCAATATCCCACACACTCTAAGCTCCTACTCCTTACTCTCCACTGAACAAGTCAGTCTCAGAACACATCTGTATATGCCTACCAAAAGTTTTTGAAATTTCAGTGACAGACTGCACCAATGTGAATGCTTCAAAATTTAATGTTGGCCGTTCCTTTTCCTGAAAGTCCTCCCACCATATCTGCCATTTGAGTTCCAGCCTCCTACCATGATACTCTGCTCTCTCTTCCTATTTTTTTCTTTTCTTCTCCTCCTCCAACCCCTGAAATTCCTGTGCATTTATATCCAAAACTGTTTAGTTATCTCTTTTGTTGCTCAGCTTTTGCTGACCCATGCCCTCAGTGTCTCGCCTTTCTGCTGTCTTATTAAGGCATTGTCCTACAAGGTTAGTTTCAGCCCAAGAGAAATTCTGGTGTCATCTGTTAAGATCATCTTTCTACCTGCTTTAATGGTTTCATCTTCAGTAGGACAGATATACAGACTGAACTCTGACGGTAAAATAAGGCTACTTTAGTTGACCATCATTCCACTCACCAGCACAGGTGGGAACAATCCAATCGGACCCACGGCCACCTGGACAACTGGCTGATCCAGCTAGCCAACTTAGGTCCCCGTCCTACCTGAGAATGACCTGACCATATTGTGTGTGGTTGTGCTTTTCTGGAAATTCTCCAAACAACCTCTATAGGCCATCCTTTCCTTACCACATCTCCCCCAAACAAGGCTTCAAAGGAAAGACATTTCCCAATTTAAAGATCACATATCACTTTTTAAGTATTTTATTATGGATTTTTTTAGGACATATACAAAAATTGAGAGAATAGCCCAAAGAGTCTCCAAGTATCCATCATCTACTTCAGCATTTATCAACATACCTGCATACTGAGTTACGGTTTCCATTTCAGGAAGTAGATTGTGATATAACAGTTATGCCATTGCCTTAATCCTACCCATGATAGGATGCCACTGTGGATTACTGAACCAAGAAATGACTTAATATAAACTGTATTTTAGAAAGATTAACTTCCTGATAATTTATAAAGTGATTTTGGAAGGAAAGTAAAACCGTGAGACCATGTTACTAGTAATGATCTATAACATGTGATGTGTTCTCAGTATTACATTGATATTTCAGGATGTCATTTACAAGGTAAAAACTGCTTTCAACAATGAGTTTGATGCTGCATATAAACAAAAAGAGTTTGAGGTTGCACGTGTGAAGGAAAGAAATGTAAGAATTAAAGAAATTATATTAGATTTGGACTTGGAAGAAGTGGTCTGGCAACCAGAATTTGATGATTGTGAGAAGCCAGAGAGAACTCTCGTTGTGGAAAACAAAGAGGTACTGGCTAGCTGTGTTATCCCGTCCCTTTTCTCTCAGGACATTTTCCCACATTCTTACTTATTCATCTCCCTGTGTGCAGTGCAGTACTGGAAGTGACTGTATCAGGTGGTATTCTTGGTCACAAGAAACAAAAATAGTTGACATTGCCTCAGCAATGATGAGAATTTCTTTTGGAATCCTATGGAATCTAGGGAAGATTTGGATGTCAAGCCTAGAAGGAAGCAGGGACCAAAGACTGAAATCTCATGGGGAATCAAGAAGTCCACTTTCTTAATCTCTTAGCTCACCTCTGTCTGCATTTCACCTTCCTCTAGCAGTTTCTACTTTATTTCTCCTCACTCAAGCAGACAGCTGGTCCAAACTAGAACCACTTAGTCCTAATTCCACATTTGACTAGAAAGAGTTTCATTGACCCAGCTTGGGTCCAGTGCCTGTATCAAAGAAGTTGGGATCACATTGTGAAAGAGAGCCTGATGAAGTTCCAGTAATTATCTGGGTCACTAAGGCAGGATGGATCCCAGAGAAAGGGGGCTCAGTGGTCAGCCTTTTTTTTTTTTTTTAAGAGAGAGTGTGAGGCAAAGGGGTGGGGGGCCGTGCAGAGGGAGAGGGAGAGGGAGAGAGAGAATCTTAAGCAGGCTCCACGACCAGTCCAGGGACCAACATAGGGCTCGATCTCACCACCCTGAGATCATGACCAGAGCAGAAATCAAGAGTCGGATGCTTAACCGACTGAACCACCCAGGCACCCCACTGGTTAGCCTTCTTAAAGGGTGTTTGGCCAGAGGTGGTTACAAGTAAATGCCTAAAGAAAATAATTAAAATATAACCAAATTTAAAATACTAAAAAAAAAAAAAAAAAAATCCTTGCTCATATGAAACCAGCTTGATTGCTTTGGGATAAAAAGTAATAGTGTTACTTAGAAATAACAGCAAACACTTATATAGTCCCTATTAAAAGCCAGGTACTGTTCTAAGTGCCCTAGATAGATGGAAACTAATTTATCATTATAAGACCTTACAAGGTAGGTACTAATATTACCTCTATTTTACAGATAAGGGAAGTAAGGCACAGAGAGGTTAAGTAGCTTGACCACCGTTAGAAAGCTAGTAAGTGACAGATTTGGGGTCTGAACGCAAACCCTTATCCTTCAGAGTACATCTTCATCTCTACAGTCTAGTTTAAGGAAATTATTTCTTCCAGAACCGGTCTCCTGCCATGTAACCTAAGTCTCTGGAGCACTGTGATAGCAAGGACCTCTCTCTGCGGCTCTCACCAAGATCCTGCTGGGGGCAGTCTTTGTATGTGCATAATTAACCTCACCACACTTGCTTCTTCTCTAATCCCTTCTACATCAGGAGAGTGATCTTGTTACAAGCCAAACTTATTATGTCTTTCCCTTGCTTAAAACCCTGCAGTGACTGCTCATTTCACCTCAGATAACAAGCCCCTTTGTGACTGCCTACCTTGCTCTGGGCCAGCCACACTCTCGTTCCCACAATTCCTTGAATGCTCCAAGCTATTGACCTCGCAGGACCCCCATCCTACAGGATTTGGCTTAGATGACATTCCTTTGAACCCCTTTCCTGTCCCTCTAGTCTAAATCAGATCCCTGTTATAATCTCTTTAGTGATGGAGAAGAGCTTTGAGAGCTAATAGAGAAGTAACGATCAATTTTCCCAACGCTCTCATTCTAGATCTCATCTTTGTCCCAAGATAGGAAATTGATTGTGAAATCTGGATGGTTCCTTTATCCTCTCGATACCTTCTAACCTTCTCCCTGCTGTGTGAAAGGAAGGTTTGGTTTAAATTGTGTAAGAAGAACAGCATTAAACTACATTTTCTCTTTCAGATTACAGCTCAGAAAATGCTTAATCCATGGCTGAAAGCCAAAGCAGAATTGACCGCAAACCGTGAAATGGAGCGATGGCTTCTGACACGGGTATGCAGTTTTGCTCAAACGTACCTAAGACCCTCTTTCCTTTAGGTATATTTGTTCCTAATTTGATTGAATTGTCTTGTACTTTACTCCACTATAGAAACACATCACGGCATTTGTCATGGTCAGAGATCCCTGGAATCTCAGGGGCCTCCTTCTCCTCTTCCCTTCATGCCACTCGCCACCCTCCCCCATTCTAAATGCAGTCATTCTAACATTGGGTGGGAGGCTGCCTCTGGTTCTACCAGAGGGCCAGGTCTCTGTCTTAGCTACCCTCCCTGACCCTGGCTCTTTTCCAGGGCCCCGACACAAGGCACCGAGCCCTGATGGACATGATGGGAGGAGTTCTGGAAGTCAAGAAGGAAGATATTTTGAGAATGGTGAGATTTCTGGACATTCTATGGAAGATGGAATGGGGTAGAGAGAGCTACTCAAATTTGATTGTTTTTGTCTATATTGACCCGAATTTTAGAAATTCTACAGCAACAAATATACAACCTCCCAGTACCTCATAAATATACCACATTAGGCAAATAAGAAATTTGAAACTGCGGACTTGCCTCCCTATCTTACATAAAGCAAACAAAAGAACAAAACAAGCAAACTGGTTTTGGTCTGGATAGAAAGCAATGATAATGTTGCATCTGTAATTCTCTGGATATAACATGAAACATTCCCTTTGATACGTGCCTTAGGTGTCCCTGGAGCCCAGGTGTAGTTCTAACTATGAAGATATCAACATACATCTCTGACCCTGTCACCTAAGAGTTTCTATATGTCCCAAATTGCCCACTCTCGCTTATGTTCACAGAAAAGCAGTTGTAACTTTTTTCATGTACTTTCTTCAAAGTGTCAGGCCATTGTCTTGCCAATGTGAAGACCTATATCCCTTGAAAGGGCTTTTTTTTTTTTTTTAACTGTAATGATAACTCTGACCTTTTACTGTACTGCTATATTTATGTTTGAGCCATGGTATATGCTTTCCTTTTTATCTTCAGGTGATTCCTCAACCTGCTTTCATGGTAAAACCTGATGCTCTATGGTCTGAAGAGGAGAGGAAACAAGTCAAAGACTATGAGAAGAAAGTCAAAGAGTTAAATGAAGAAAGAGATAAGTATAGAAAGGTCAGAAGAGCAAAGAATTAATATACCCTACCATGGTTTTGTTCCAGTATGTTTTCAAATTAAGTGTTCTTTATTCCCTCAGTGTTGTTAGTAGCTTAAGGATACTGTTTCAGCTTAAATTCTCAAGAGAATTTGGGGAAGTGGGTAGAGATAAGTTTGAAGAGTTAACACAATTTAAAACAAAAAGAGTGTGTTGCAATTTTTTTTTAAGTTCTTGTTGATTTCAACATTTCCCAGATCGTTACAGTTCATTTGGTCCTCCATTCTTCAAATGTTTAATGAACATCTATGAGAGTATGTTCTAGGCACTGCTCTGTATCTTCCACATCTGTTTGAGTTCAGTCATAACTCTTGCTTGATTTCCTCTCAATCTCAAGAAAAGGACCTGACAGAAGAATGACACAATCAGCAGCACATACTTCACAGCTGTAACTTGAGATATTTGCAAAGCAGTTCTCCCACTGATACCTCCTTGCATCTCAAAGAAACATTCCCACATTAAAATTGCTTACAGTTCACAGACCTGTGCCCCTGAAACAAATAATACATTATATGTTAATTTAAAAAAAAGAAAAAAGAAAAATGCTTACAAATATAATAGAGATATAAAAACGGATGGTGTACAACCAAATAAAAAGTATCTATTCCAGGGGCGCCTGGGTGGCTCAGTCGGTTAAGTGGCTACCTTCAGCTCAGGTCATGATCTTGGGATCCTGGGATCGAGCCCCATGTCCGGCTCCCTGCTCGGCAGAGAGCCTGCTTCTCCCTCTCCCTCTGCCTGCCACTCTGCCTACTTGTGCTCTCTACCTATCTGTCGAATAAATAAATAAAATCTTTAAAAAAAAGCATTCCGCTATGAAGAAGGTAAAATCATGGCATTATTTGAGGCAGGGCAGTTTGTCAGCTTTATAGTGGCTGTATCTCATGAGCAACTTCTTTAGATCTATTGATAACCTGTTCCCATTTTTATTCACTGCAGTCCTCTAACAGTGCCCTCACATTTCATCCTAAGATAGTATTTCCCAAAAAGCCAAAATGAGCAGTCTTGAATGCAGTGAAAATTTCAAGCAGTTAAGGAGTATAGATGCCTAAGGTGGTAGCATTTATTCCATGATCTCATATTGTGAAATAGTCTGCTGCTGACACTCTCACCTCCCTGCTCCTTGGTCAAATTCAGTGGGTAAAAGCCAGCCATGGCTAAAGCCAGTACTCAGCCTTCTCTGCACCTGCACCACGCATCACGATGTGGGTAAAGAAAAAAATACTAACTGATTTCCCTCCAATGACCTTAATCTTTACTGGGTCTTCAGAGCTGTTTGGTGATGCTATTCCATTTCCCCACCCCTAGCTGACTCCATACCACCTGAGGGATCTTGTCAAGAATATTTGACTTGATTCTATCATTTTGAGGAAATGGAAGGATCCTGAGATTTCTAACAAGCAGCCTGGTGGTGTGGCTTGCTGCTGGTCAGAGGAGAACACTTTAAGTAGCAAGATCCTCGAGAAACATGTCCCACATTCTCCTCTGTCTCCAAACTTCCAACACCTGACCCCCTTGGCTCACTCACCTCATATTCTATTTCACTGGGAGGGGAGAAGCAACTAGAAGAGATTTTCCTTACTCTTCTACTCCCACATCTACCTCCCACCTGCACAGAATCCATAGACTCTCCCTTTCTGTTTCTTAGGGATGAAATGACCTTGCACCTGCCCAAGCCTGGTCCTCCACTTGTGCACCTGATCCCATCCCATCTTACCATTCGGGCAATTTGCCCCTTTTTCCTCCATCAATTTTTCCCTCCAGCATAGACATATGTTCTAATCTTATACATTGGATACATCTCTCATTGTATAGAAAAGAGAATGAGAAAGAAAAAGAGACTCCCTTGAAGAGGATTCTGGAATTCTTTCTACTATCCTTATGACTTTTGAGTTAGTCTGAATTTATTTCAAAGTAAGTTAAAAGGGAAAAAAAAGTCCCTGGACCCAACTTTCCTCTCAATCCACTGCCCAGTATCTCCTCAGAAAACCCCTGGAAAAATCTGTCTTCACTGTCTCCAATTTCTCTTTTCTCAGTCTATTGGAAAAACCTTTATATTATGGAAAATGTCAAACATATAAAAACGTAGAGAGAATAGTATAATGACCCCCTCATCCAGCTTCAACAATTATCCAAGTCATGGCAAATCTTATGTCATTGTATATCTCTGCCAATTTTCCCAATATGAGATTATTTTTTTGCCAATTTTTATTTTAGAATTATTCAAATGTACAGATATGTTGCGTGAGAAGTACAATCTATGTACCATATACCTATGTCGTAGTGCATCCATATTCTGTAAATCTAGTATACCTACACCATATACCTTAACCCACCAGCTTTTAATATTGCCACATTTTTTTGCATTTTGTATTTTTCTCCTGACTTGTATGTATATAACATATATATATGACATCAAAACTCCATATTATTACCTCCAATTCCAGTTTTGGCTAAGATCAAGTGTAGTGTCTGTTCTTATCAGTTTAATATCTGATATGTCATTTATCCAATTCCAATTCAACATACCCTAAGGTTCTTCTCCCTTTCCCTAATTTAGCATGTAGATCTCCTTTCTCAGTGCAAGCTCTAGTTCCCCAAATATATTTATTCATTTGCTCAGTCCTACAATATACGTATAATGTCTCTACCAAAAGCAAAACTTCTTGGTAGGTTTTAAGATTTCCTTGCACCTCTTTTTGTTCTCAGGATATATCTCATGGAGGGCAGACCACCTGCACATTATATTCAGAATTTATTTGGACTAATCCTTTTTTCCCCTTCTGTGCGGATAACATTATCAACTTGATATGAAGTTCTTCATGCAGCGCTGTTCTTATTTCAGGGGGAAGAGACCACCAGTGCGTCTTCTGATTTCATGATTTTCTTTTGTTTCTGCAGGACCCTTAATCTTCACTTCTTCCTTTCTTCTTTCCTTTCACCCAAGTCTCCAAGAGGCCCCTCCCTCTTCCACACTGCCTCACTCTCCCCAGAAGCAGCACTGCCTGAGACTGCACCTCCAGTCCCTTCGTTATGATTTTCCAGGAGCTTCTTTTTGGGCACCACAACAACTCCCACCCTACTCCAAACACCAGCTTCTCTTACCCGATTTATGGCATTAGTTTCTCTGCCCTCCTGGTCCCCTGATCTGTACCCCTCCCATTTTACCTCCCACCACTCTCCCGGAAACTCCTTGGTGTTCCTCAAAGATACCCAGCACATTCTTGACGCCAGGACCCACAGCTCATTCTTGCCATGGGCCCTTGACATGCTGTGGCTGTTACCTGGGGTACTCTTACCCCATTTAGCCATACGGCTTGCTGCCTCACCTCTTTTGGATCTCTACTCAGTTGTCATCTCATCTTCCTACATAGCAGGGCAAACTCCCTCCCCACCAGCCCCGCTCTACTCCACCACCACCCCCACCCCCACCCCGGCTTTGTTGTTCTCCAGAGTGCTCATCCCCACCTGGCCTACATCATCCGTACTTGTTTACACGTTACCTGAATCCTCTACTAGAATGTAACATGAGGGAAGAGAATTGGTCTGTTTTGTTCATTACTATATTCCAAATTTTGAGAACTGTGCTTGACGCATAATAAGCACTCAGTAAATATTTCCTGAATGAATAGATAAATTTATTTACAGCTATTATGTGCCAGGCACTCTCCTAGGGCCTGGTGATTTGCAGATGAAAGGCTACCACCTTCACCCTTAAGAACCTAGTCTGGTCCAGATGTTGGCGGGGATGCGGAGAAAGGGGAACCCTCCTACACTGTTGGTGGGAATGCAAGCTGGTGCAGCCACTCTGGAAAACTGTATGGAGATTCCTCAAAAAGTTGAAAATAGAGCTACCATATGATCCAGCCATTGCACTACTGGGTATTTACCCCAAAGATACAAAAGTAGGGATCCGAAGGGGTACGTGCACCCCGATGTTTATAGCAGCAATGTCCACAATAGCCAAACTGTGGAAAGAGCCAGGATGTCCATCGACAGATGAATGGATAAAGAAGATGTGGTATATATATACAATGGAATATTATGCAGCCATCAAAAGGAATGAGATCTTGCCATTTGCAACGACGTGGATGGAACTGGAGGGTATTATGTTGAGTGAAATAAGTCAAAAAGAGAAAAACATGTATCATATGATCTCACTGATATGAGGAATTCTTAATCGCAGGAATCAAACTGAGGGTTGTTGGAGTGGGGGGTGGGGTGGGAGGGATGGGGTGACTGGGTGATAGACACTGGGGAGGGTATGCGCTCTGGTAAGCGCTGTGAATTGTGCAAGACTGTTGAATCTCAGATCTGTACCTCTGAAACAAATAATGCAATATATGTTAAGAAAAAAAAAAGAAGAAGAAGAACGTAGCGGGAGGGGAAGAATGAAGCGGGGGAAATCAGAGGGGTAGACGAACCATGAGAGACGATGGACTCTGAAAAACAAACAGGGTTCTAGAGGGGAGGGGGGTGGGAGGATGGGTTAGCCTGGTGGTGGGTATTGAGGAGGGCACATTCTGCATGGAGCACTGGGTGTTGTGCACAAACAATGAATCATGGAACACTTCATCTAAAACTAATGATGTAATGTATGGGGATTAACATAAGAATAAAAAAAATAGAAAAATAAAATAGAAAAAAAAAAAAAAAGAGAGCCTAGTCTGGTCAACTACAGCAATACCTTCTTAAATTGCAGGCCATGTTTTTGTCCAGGGCTGGGAGAAATTCTTGGTCTGATGGATTCTGCATTGTTCATCCTTACCCTCCTATTTAGTCTCCCACCTTTCATCTCCCCTGCTTCTCATTTTGCAGCATCTGATACAGTTTTGGTTAAAATTAGATTTTCCCAGGAATGTTTGAGGAAAAGTGACACCCAATTCTTTAACAAATATTCCTTTGATTCTCACTCTGGCTGGTCACTGTGTCGGGTCCCAAGAGACACTTGCTGAATAGACAGACACAGCTCTGGCCCCTCCCGGTGTTCACTGCCTTGGGGGGTGGGCAGTTACACATTAACTGAACATTCACAGAATAGTTATTTAACTGCAGTGTGATGAATCAGGATGGACAAGTTCAGGTGCCACCTATGACAGTAAACACAGAGGCACTGATGTAGATTGAGGCCACTGGTATTCACTAGGTCCCCTTTTCAGGCTGGCGTGCCCATCCCCTTACGTCTGTGCATGTTGCAGCTAAAGGCTCATACCTGAGACCTCTGGTGCCTTGGCTTATCAAGGGGGCATCCTTGTTATAGCATACAAGGCTATATCACTGCCCCTATCCAGAAAAGCCTATGACTGACTGATGAGATGGGGATACAAAAGTCCCGCCCAGTTGGCCCAAATTGGGACAGCTCAGCAGAGCCTCTCTATTACCCTTGTACCCCTGGGAATCAGGCGAAGGCTGGGCCACCTAAGAGCACATTGTTGCTCAGCTCCTGCCCCTTCCCTGCCTGCTTCCCTTCCCCATTTTACAGGTGTCTCTGAAAAAGCACTCCCTCCAAAAATTGCATACACTGGAATCCTGTTCCAGGCTTTGCTTCTAAGACTCAAGGTAGTGCCTAAGACAGGACCCAAGGTAGGCTTACTTGAGAAAGTGGCTTTTATGCTCAAGTTGGAAGAATGAGCAAAATGACAGGTTGAAGAGCAAGGAATGGAGATCAGACAGATGGAAAAGCGCATGAGAAGGGCCTGCAGTGAGAAGAATGTGGGACATTTGAAGTACAGAGCAAAAGGCCGTTCTAACACTAAAAGAGTTCCTTTCAGACTGGAGAGAAGGGTGGGCTTCAGACCCTTGGACAATCTGGTCCCAGCAGGCTGAGCCTTTGGTCATTTGCCATGTGATGGTGCTTCCATTGTCCAGGAACACATGGCTTTGATACACAACTACTGGGCCCACAGTCCATGGGATTTTTTCCATTTCTATGAGATTGTGTCATAAACTATGGCAAGCAAACTGACCCTGAAGTGTGCTTTTCCTGTATTTGTTCTATTTTAGTATTTCGTCATTGCTTAATTAGCTTTATTTGGGTGGTGTTTCTCCTTGTGTCAAGTGCCTCTACATTTTGCTAAACTCTCTCCATCACCTTCCTAGAATTAGTCTCTCTCTTCATTAAACCAGCATAGACAGAACTTGGCTTTTTCTTTAACTTAAGAGAGAGAGAGAGAGCACACACGCATGCATGCACGCACTCCTGTGCAAGAGGGGTGGGGGAGGGGCAAAGGGAAAAGGAGAGAGAGAATCTTAAGCAGGCTCCAAAGCCAGCACGGAGCCTGATGCAGGGCTGTCTCATGCCCTGAGATCATGACCTGAGCCAAAATCAAGAGCTGGACACTTTAATGATGTACAGATGTTGTCTAATTGGACAAAACAATAAAAATAAATAAATAGAAATAAATTTTTTTAAAAAGGAGCTGGACACTTAACCAACTGAGCCACCCAGGTACCCCAGAACTTAGCTTTTTAAAGTAAATTTAAAATAATAATTCTATCATTACCATCACCATAATAATTTATTCAAGTAAGGATTATCAATGGGTGCTAAAACTGGTGGATAAAAGTTTGATGAGGAACAAGATTTTTACATGGTTTCTAAGTATCTTCCCACAAATTAATTACAAATGGAAAAACAGTAACTGTACAATAGAGAAACTGGCAGACACTACTTAACCAAGTGATCACAGTTAACATCATCAATGATGAAACAAACCCACATCATGTCTCCTCATATGGTACACTGAGAAGGGTACAACATGATTCATGTGGTGTTCCTGTTAGTAACGTACCACCTGGTTTAAGCATGAGAAAACATCAGACAGAGCTAAACTCAGTGACAGTCTACAAAATGACTCACCTGTATTTGAGGGTCTGCAGCTTGTTCTCAAATGATCAAGAAAAAGATAGTGCTAGGGAGAGAGAAAGAGAAGAGATTGAGCAAGTGATAAATCAAATGGGGCAGAATATTAGCAATTGATTAATACGATAAAAAGTATATGGGAATTCTGGGGTGCCTGGGTGGCTCCATCATTAAGCGTCTGCCTTCGGCTCAGGTCGTGATCCCAGGGTCCTGGGATCGAGCCCCGCATCGGGCTCCCTGCCCCATGGGAAGCCTGCTCCTCCCTCCCCCACTCCCCTTGCTGTGTTCCCTCTCTCGCTGTGTCTCTCTTTGTCAAATAAATAAATAAAATCTTTAAAAAAAAAAAAAGTATATGGGAATTCTTTGTACTACTATTCTTATAACTTTTCTGTAAATTTAAAGTTAAATCAAAATCTTAAAGTTACAAAAACTTTTAAAGATAAAAATTATTTGTAATAGTATGTCTAGGATTGATCTGCTGACATTTCTTTAAAAATAAAAATTTATAGGGGCTCCGGCTCAGTCAGTTAAACATGCGACTCTTGGTTTCGGCTCAGGTCATGATCTCATAGGTTGTGAGATTGAGCCCCGCATCAGGCCCTGTGAACAGCAAGGGGTCTGCTTGAAATTCTCTCCCTCTGCCTTTCCCCACTCATGTGCATGGTTGTGTGCACGCACCTCTCTCTCTCAAATGAATCTTTTAAAAAATAAATATAAATTCATAGCTTTCTACTTACCTACTGTGTGTTTAGCTCTAAGTCCTTGTAGAATTTTAAAAAGTAGGGGGAGAGAGGGTAGGTGGGACTTTTTCCCCCTGATGTAGATGTTTTGGAGAGACAACAATTACAGAAAACAAAAGAAAGTATAACTATATATGTTATATCTCCATCTGTCTATATCTGTATTTCTATCTACCTCTATATCTATATACTCAGTCTTTATTTCCTTAAAATCTAAAAAATTCCATGAAGATATATCATGGCTTTTAAAAAAAAATCAAGATCTTTTAGGACCAGATTATATACCTGGAAATTTCTGTCTTACAGAGAGAGGGTCAGAATTTCCCAGAAAGATTTGCTGAGATTTGTTTTACTAGGCCTATCTCTGCCTGCACCATTAGCCATGATCAGTTATTTCCTCTTTTTTCCCCAGTGTAATCTTTTTAAAGCAAAAATCTCAGACTCACAATATATTAAACAGATCCAGGTGGAACATCTCTGGTTGAAGAGGGTGGAGGGCCCAGGACACTTCACAAGGCCTGTCCTCCCCCTGCACCCCCCCCTTGCAGCACAATGTGAACACCCCTTCCTTGCAGCATTTGATGTTCCTAGATGTTAACTTTGTTATCGACTTCCTTCCAGTCATTAGAAGCAGAAATGAAGAAACTTCAAAACTCCATTCAAGAAAGCACACAGAATTTTGATGAACATTTGAAAAGACTCTTTGAAAGGAGAGTGAAGGCAGAGATGGTTGTCAACCAGGTAAGTAGAAGCTTTACTTAAAAGGCCTTTTCTTTTTAAGGAGCCTCGGGGGCCTCTCTTTGTTCTTAGAAAAAAGACCAACACCCTTTCTGGCACCATGGTCCTGCTTGTCCTGGCCTGATTCCTGCTCCAGCCTCACCTCCGCCACCCTCCCCCTCACTGCCATGCTTCCTCCTGTGGTGCCTTGAGCTCACCTCGGTGCCCCTTCCTCCCAGCTCTGCCTCCTGGCCCCTATCTACTCAGCTACATATGTCAGGTTCCAGCTTACAAGCCAGTTCCTCAGACTAGGCTAGAGCCTCCTAGTATATGCTCTGTTCTTTTACTTTCTCAAACTTATTGCAACTGAATTTTAATTTATATGAAATTACTTTTTAATGCTCCCAAAACTATAAGTCTGTCTGATTCATCCCTGTATCTCCAGAAACTAGCAAAGGGCCGGGCTCATACTATGTGTTAAATGAATGAATAATCCACTTGCCCCAAAAGATCCGATGAAAAATCTGGCTTAATTTGACTCAGCAGTAAGAATATAAATGACGTGTACAGTAACTAGAAACAAGAAGACCAAGCAGTGGGGTGCCTGGGTGGCTCAGTTGGTTAAGCAACTGCCTTCGGCTCAGGTCATGATCCTGGAGTCCCTGGATCGAGTCCCGCATCGGGCTCCCTGCTCAGCAGGGAGTCTGCTTCTCCCTCTGACCCTCCTCCCTCTCATGCTCTCTGTCTCTCATTCTCTCTCTCTCAAATAAATAAATAAAATCTTTAAAAAAAAAAATACAAAATCTCAAAAATTTATATGTATCTTCCAAAGCAAGCGAGGTCAGCCAAAAAAGATGAGAGAAGATAAGGGAACCTCTAGGAGGTTGTCTCTATCCTCGGGGTCCCAACAGGAATGGTACACTGAAAGTGTTACATTTAAGAGGTTTAATGCAAGGACTCTTTACGGAGGTATAGTCAGGGTTAAGGGGAAACAGCGAGGAATGGTGAAAAACTAAGAGATTAGAAGTAGCAGGAAGGCAGTAACATCACTAGAGCTAAAGAGGCAAAGGAAGGGAGCTGCTACCAGGACCCAGCAAGACCTGTAGCCTTGAGAGAGAGACTGCTCTTTGGGAGTCTTGGCCATAGACAGAACATAACCACTGGCCCAGGAGGGAGGGAGTGTGTGTATGGTAGTTGGGTGGGGGGACAGTGGGAATAAATGCCCCAGCACTAGTCATAAGAGCCGCATTAATCATAATGCCCAAAAAGTGGAAACAATCCAAATGTCCAACAACTACATATGGATAAATAAAATATGGTTTATCCATATAATGGAATATTATTTGGCAATAGAAAGTTCTAATACATTGTACAACATGGATGAACCTTGACTTGTATGAAATTAATGAATTGTATGAAATATATCTTAATAAAGCTGTTATTTTAAAAAGATAAGCTCAGAACATCTTTTCATATAAGATAATGAGGAAACTGTCAAAGACTACCAGGTAATATCCAAAGGACTCAGGGGCCAAATTTAAAAGCTCCCCTAAAGGGAATAATTTAAGATTCAACAATGATAATCATTGCAATTAACTGAAACCCACCAAAGTTGTTTAAATTTGTGAATTTGTGATATTTTAAAAAGAAAAATGCCTATTGTTCACCTTCAAAGAATAACAACCAATTCGTTATGTAGAAACTGATAAAGAGAAAGCATTGAGTATTGATTCCACCTTCCTATATGAACTGTACCACTAGGTAACTACATTGCAGATAAGGAGAAGCATCTGTTTATAAAAGAATTTTCATTAATAAGTGAAAAAGGAACGATAGAAATAGACTATCACCATCTTGCAACTCCCCATAGATTAACGGGTTGGGGCATGGAGTGTCTACCATTACTAACATCACAAAAATGCAGATATCCTAATATTATGTGTGTCCTGATCAAAGAACATAGTATCACCTACGGTATTGCCAGAAGGATCAAACGTGTCTGATAAGGCCTCTGAGCAGCTGCCAGTTTTCAGGAAGTACATGACATGAAGGATACTGATGAACTCGCTGTAAGTATGCAGATAGCAAAACCCAGGCCAGGTAAAACTATAAGAAAATGTGAAGAAAGGAAAGGGGTGGAAGGGAAACTGTGGATTATAAGAGATTTTTAAAAGGTGACAATTTTTTTAAATGGACAGGTGATGCTATAGTGCCTAGAGAGATACAACTGGGTGATAAAACCATAAAGAAACACAAGAGAGTGATTACTCTGGATGTCAGGAAAGTAGTTATTACCAGGGTTGAGATTGTGAAGGGGACACATGGAAGGGGCTTCTGGGATGGGAAAGTTCTATTTCCTGAACCATGTGGTGATCCCAAGTGTGTTTTACCTTTATAACAACTCATTAAACTATACATGGTCTTGTGTATTTTTCTCTATATATGTTTTATCTTACAGTGAAAAGATGAAAAGGGGGGCACCTGGGTGGCTCAGATGGTTAAGCGTCTGCCTTCGGCTCAGGTCATGATCTCAGGGTCCTGGGATCGAGTCCCATGTTGGGCTCCCTGATCAGCAGGGAGCCTGCTTCTCCCTCTTCCTCTGCCTTTCCCCCTGCTCATGCTCTCTCTCTCTTTCTCTCTCTGTCTCAAATGAATAAATAAAAAATTATTTTAAAAAAAAAGAAAAAGAAAAGATGAAAAGGTAAAATAACTGAGTAGTTAGCACCACAGTCTATATTCCCTTTCTCTTATTTGTATGTCATAAACCTGCTTGATGAGTGTCAAGTCTATGACCCTTTCTCAAATAGATGTAGTGATCATTTCCCCAACCTTTTTAAATATTTCTACAGGAGGAATTGAAAATAAATAATCTTGTCTTTTCTCTACTGTTGGATGAAGAAATAAGCTCCAGAGAAGCATTCTTAAACAACTACCTTACAAGGAAGCAGGAGGAGAAAGTAAGGATGATATCTGATATCTTGAGTAAAAGGATTTTCTGACAGACATGCTCCTTGTTTAACAAGCTCTCAGGGGCATCTGGGTGGCTCAGTCGGTTAAGGATCTGCCTTCAGCTCAGGTCATGATCCCGGGGTCCTGGGATCGAGCCCCGTGTCAAGCCTCACATCGGGCCAAGCTCAGCACAGGGTCTGCTTGCCCCTCTCCCTTCCCCCCTCCCCCTGCTCATGCTCTCTCTCTCTCTCCTTTCACATTCCTCTCAGTTGTGTGTGTTCCTTGGCTCCCCGTCAGGGACTTGGCTCCAGGGTCAGGTTGAAAGCACCCGCTCTTATCTGTTAATGAAGTTATGGGATTCTGCATCTGCAATCATTTAGTCAAAAGAACCGTGTGACTTTCATATGACATACAGTTTATAAAATGAGACAATATAGCTTCATGGTTGAAAGGACCCACTTTTAACCACTGACTGGCTGTGACACTGTGGGACCTTGGACAAGACGTATAACTAGCCCTTCTCTGGGAATATTGTTCTCTCTGGATCATTTGGAACCCTAGATATTACTAAACATGTAAGTAATGTGGTAGCTTATAGAATGAAAACCTGTCATATCTGGAAAACTCTAATAAATAGTGTGAATAGATATGTTTCATTAAAGACACAATGAATGCAAAATGCTTGTCACAGAATAATTTTCAAAAGATGTCAGCTTTTATTAGTAGTATTAATAACATTTATGAATGAATGATTTAATATCATATATATATCATATATATGACATATGAACTTAGCTTTTGCTGAAAGTCCATTAAATAGCATATGCAAACACCTTCTGAATGCAGCCCTACTCATAACAACGCTGCAAGGTACTGGATTTCTTTCACAGGTGAGGAGACCATCTCAGAGAGACTAGTAAACATGCCTAAGTCACCCATTAGAAAGTAAAACAGCAGGAATTAGAACTGTGAAAATAAATGAAGACCATCCAAATGAGAATAAGCAGACTATTTATTCAGAACTTGATATAGTAAGAGATCAGCCACCATCACTTGTGTTTGGTGGACACTCAAAGGCAGGCAGGGGGATGGGAAAGCTTTATAATGGAAAGAAGAGAGGGCTTCAGGTGTACCCTGATTAGAAGTTGTTGGCATGGGGGAAGGGGGTGCCTGGGTGGCTCAGTCTGCCTTTGGCTCAGGTTGTGATCCCTGGATCCTGGAATCAAGCCCCATGGGGCTCCCTGCTCAGCGGGGAGTCTGCTTCTTCCCCTCCCTCTGCTTCCCCTGCCCTTCCCCCTCCCTCCCCCCCAACCCGACCGCCCTCCACTCATGCTCACTTGCTCTCTCTCTGAAATAAATAAATAAAATCTTAAAAAAAAAAAGTTGTTGGCATGGGGAAGCCAGGGGCAAGTTAATTAGAAGACAGGCAACCTATGTGATTAATTTGGGGAGCGTATTCAGCTTTCTCTGTTTGGTCCTAAACTGGAAATGGTGGCAAAAATTAGGAAAGGTGAAAGTTACTGATCAAATCATGACAGTCTGGGACTGATCGTTGCCGACGATATGGTTTTGTTTCCTGGCTAGTTGCTACAGGGGTTGTGGGTCAGAGTTCTATTTGTATATATGGTCTGGCATTGTCTGTTTATGTATTCAGTCTCTCAGAAGCCAAGCCCATGTGAATCCCAAGCTTGTGCAATTTCATCATCATCATACTTCCCTGTTCCACAGTCACTTACACACTCACACAGCTGACTGTACTTAGAAACAAGTGATTAGGGGTACCTGGGTAGCTCAGTCGTTAAGCGTCTGCCTTCAGCTCAGGTCACGATCCCAGGGTCCTGGGATCAAACCCCGTGTCGGGTTCTCTGCTCCACAGGGAGCCTGCTTCTCCCTCTCCCACTCCCCCTGCTTGTGTTCCCTCTCTCGATGTGTCTCTTTCTGTCAAATAAATAAATAAATAAAATCTTAAAAAAAAACAACAACAGGTGATTAGATGTTTTTTCTTTCAAAGTCTCCAACTGGTTTACTTTCTGCTATAAATGTTATCTCTAATGGATATTTCACTGATACATTTATCTTGTACTAGGAAATTTCTTATTTTTAGTATCCCCAATATATTTGTTTATCCTGAAAAAACTCAGTTTCAATTGCCTATTCTTGATGTTATTATAGAACCAGACTTCAGAGGCCATCCAGAAAGCCAGAGAAGACCTTGACGTGTACAAGGAACACTATGACAACTTGTTGGCAGAAGACAAAGTGAGAGCTATTGTCTTACCCACTCACCAATGCAATTGAGTTGCTGCTTAGATTTGGGGAAGATTAAAAAGGATATAATTTAATTTCCTCATAGATTTTCTCCTGCTACAATTCTCAGTTATCAGTGAACTTCATTCTGAGCCATTGTATATTTCTGATAACCACTGTGTAAAATAAATTTTTGTAACTTCTCTGGTTTAAATTTTCTCTTGTACAAAAAAAGAGAGGTCACCTAGATCTTAGGGCTTCTCAAACTTTAAGTTGCGGTCCCCGCTAGTTGGTCATGAAATCAATTTAGTAGGCTATGACCACAGTTTTTAAAAATTTAATTCTAGTATAATGTATAGTATTATATTAGTTTCAGATGTACAATATAATGATTCAATTCTATATCTTACTCAGTTCTATATATTATGTATAGATCATGATAAGTGTATTCTTAATCCCTATCACCTATTTCACCTAATACCTCCACTCACCTCGCCTGTGGTAACCATCAGTTTGTTCTCTATAGTTAAGAGTATGGTTTTTTGTGTATCTCTTTTTCTCTTTGTTCATCTGTTTTGTTTCTTAAATTCCATTTATGAGTGAATTCTTGTGGTATTTGTCTTTCTCTGACTAACCTCCTTCACTTAACATTATACCCTCTAGGTCTATCCATGTTGCTGCAAATGACAAGATTTCATTCTTCCATCATATATATATAATATTTATCCATCCATCTATTGATGGGCTCTTGTGTTGCTTCCAAAATTTGGCTGTTGTAAATAATGCTGCAGTAAACATAGGGGTGCATATATCTTTTTGAATTAGTGTTTTCATATTCTTTGGATAAATAACCCAGTAGTGGAATTATTGGATCATATGTATGACCAGTAGTTTTATAAAGGAAAAGAATAGGATAGAAAAAAACATAAAGAACAGAATAAAATGGAATAGAATAGAATACCTTGCATATTTTACTGGTAAATATTATTTTGTGAAAATTTTAGTTCTGAATGATTTCTAGAACCTTATATGAATTAATATTTGTAATTCACAGAGGTACTTCCTATTCAAAATAAATCTTTGAGAAATTCTTGCATAGCAAGTGTCACCCTCAATAAGTCTACTTTATAAACCAAATTTTCATGAATTTTTAAAATCAGAGTAATTCAACCCTATATCTTGAAAAATATTGTCAACAAAGAAGGGGCTTCTGAAAAAAGTTGCAATCAAGCAGTAATATCTCTGTCCTTAGGTTCTGGATCGCAGCTTTAGAAAAGAATTTTCTGAAATTCCCAGTCATCAGGTGGATATACTCTACAAACTTTTTAAACGCCGACCAAGGTTTGTTTCTCCTTTGCTATCATTTTTCTGAGAAAAAAAGTTCATAACTGAAGAGGAGTGTTGTTAGAGTTCAGCTTTTTCAATCCCAACTAGACAGAAATATTCAGTGTAACATCTTTTATGCGAAAATGTTCAAGTGTCTTTATCATAACTCAGGGTTTTTTTAGATTATTCTTACATCTTAAGGTAAGCAATGAAGAAAAATGATTTCATTATTCAAAAAGTTAAGTATCTAGGTAAGCACTGTGTTAGCATAGGCCTATGAAAGTAGTTCCTCTTAAGATATTGGTGGTATACAGATCTATAATTTTTCCCAAGATGTGTTCTAGCAAATATGAGGCCCTTGTTGTATGAATTGGAATTACACATAAAAGGCTTCCAGAACAAAATATGTTTGGGGAAAATCCTGGGTTAAAAGAAAAAGTTAAACAGTTTATTAAAGAACTTCTCAGAACCTGTTTTTGGCCTTTGGATCTCCAAGTATAAAAAATAGAGGGGTGCCTGGACGGCTCCGTCGGTTAAGCGTCCGACTCTTGATTTAGGCCCAGGTCATGATCACACAGGGTCGTGTGATTGAGCCCCAAGTCAGGCTCAGCACTGAGCGTAGAGCCTGCTTAAGATTCCCTCTCTTGGAGCACCTGGGTGGCTCAGCAGTTAAGCGTCTGCCTTCGGCTCAGGTCATGGTCCCAGGGTCCTGGGATCGAGCCCCGCGTCGGGCTCCCTGCTCTGCGGGAGGCCTGCTTCTCCCTCTCCCACTCCCCCTGCTTGTGTTCCCTCTCTAGCTGTCTTTCTCTCTGTCAAATAAGTAAAATCATAAAAAAAAAAAAGATTCTGCCTCTCCCTCTGCTTCTCCCCTCCCCCCACTTGTATGCATGTGCATGCTGTCTCTAAAAAAAAAAAAATAGAGTAACCGGTATTTTCCAAATTTATTTGGCCAGTCAGAGCATCTCATGTGATTGTGTTGAAGACAAAGTTTGGAAAATGCCAGTGTAAATGATTGACAATAACCATTATCAAAAAGTGTTCGAAAATAATCAGGGCTTTATACTGAGAGTAGCATTAGAATTCATTTCACAGATTTCCAAATGTTTCATACTCAGATTTCCATAATTTTCAATCGAAGGTAAAGCTAGAAATCATGGAATTTGTTACAACTGTATAGGCGCATATTTGAGATACAAACTCATTCTCTCACTTTTAACAGGTTACACACAACCCAGGAAATTCAACCGTATCTTGGTTTCCCTATTTTTAAAGGAGTGAGTCCTAATAAGTCTTGTGAAGAAAGAAGCAACACTTCCCACACATTGGGAGGCAGCAGTGGAAAGAGCATAAGCCTTCATGCCAAACAGAATTAGCTTTAAATCCTAGCTCTACCATCTATCAGACCCGTGGTCTTGGACCAATAGCTTCTCTCAGACTTTCTTCATCTAGAGAAAGAGGATAACAATAGTAACTTCACAGCATATTGTAAAGCATCTAGATAGTGAGTGTCTGGTATAAATCTTTGTACCTTTCTTCCCTTCCCAGCCACAGCCCAGGGAAACAAAACTAATGCATTAATGTAGATTTTTAAAGGTGCTTCTCCAGTTCAGTTTATATCAGAAATATTCCAGGCTACTCATCTGTAAAAAGGATACTGGCCGAGGATATGTGGGACATAACCAGGGAGTATCCATACTCCTCTTGGGCATTTACTTGCCTGCTTAAAATACACAGAAGGGAGACTTCTTTAGTACAGGTAAAGCTGCCAGTTCTGACAACAGTTAGGGACATCAGTAGGCCAGCCAAGGTCATGCCTGGGCATCCAGGGAGTATGGAAGAAAGTCAAAATGGGTGCTTTTCTCTTTGGAATAATCCACCCAGCAGCGTCCACTTGCCAAAAGAAAGTGTCATGCAATGTCATACCGATGCTAAGGGTTGTATAATTTAACATTAATTTCTTGTGTGTGAGAATGTGAAAGGTTGATGGGTTTTTATTGGCAATACCAGGATTCACAAACAGAAAATGCACTCAGATCCCGCCAGCATTGTGCCTTTTGGAGAGCGACCAGAATCTGGGAAATTGAATAAGGATGCCTTTGTCCAGTTAATGAAAGCCATGGATGACTTGGACAATATTAGTAACATGCCAGAAGGCTTGGATCCCTCGGTCTGGGATCATTTCTGCATGACCAGACGAGCGAAAGTGGAAAATGAACAGAAAGTATATAATAACATCTTATTTTATTCCATTTCAATGTCATTTCATTTCACTTAGTGTACTAATATCAAATATATAGTTTATAGTGACCAGTGCTTCCGGAAATGCTAATTATTTAGGTTTTCCTGCTAAGGTAGTAGTTAGTAACATTAGTAATAATAATGATGAAATAATATTAACCTTAATGGCATTGAGGGCTAAGTATTGGTTTATACTTCTAAGCCCATGCTGTCCAAAATGGTGGCCCCTAGCCACATGTGGTTATTGTTTACTTGAAATAATGTGGCCAGTCCTGATTGAGACATGTTGTAAGTAGTACGAAAAAGGAATGGAAAATGTCTCAATTTTTTTATATTCATTACAGTTGAAATGATGTTTGGGATATATTGTATTAAATAAAATATATTAGTGAAATTAATTTCACCTGTTTCATTTCACATTTTATAATGTGGTTCCTGCAAAACTGAAAATTAAATATGTGGCTCTCATTTATGGCTCACATTGTATTTCTCTTGGGCAGCACTGTCGTAGACACAACTTCCTTTCTCTCTGCCCTGGTCTTGAGTTGTCCTCATCCCTTTTTGCATAGATTAGAATTATATTTCACTAGAACCTACTTTATATTTGCTAGACTATTTTTTTAATGTGGCAAAGGTAACAATTTGAGAATGTATTAGTTGAGAAAAGATTCCTTCCTTTTGCTGTTTCTTGACCACCCTCTGCCTCCCCTCCCCAAAATTCCCTAAATTCAGCGCCACAAACATCAGACTGGCATATTTTTGTTGAGGAATCTATGATTTTATCATTTTATCTGAGATGATGAGAACAAATTTTAAAATAAGATATATATATATATATAAGGAAAATTACAGTTTCTTGCATATTTGATTTTTAGTGAGAAGCAAGTTTAATATTTTTCAAAATATTCATGGAATGTAACATGTAAGTTTTAGGTGTCTTACATAACATCATGGCAGGGCTTTAAATTTTTATTAATCTAGAAAAATGGGCTTGTTAATAAGGCTTTGTAACTAAGTAAAACATCTATGTTTTCTAAAGTTCTTTAAAATTAGTTTGCTTTTATTTCTAAAGCCCCACATGCTCTAAGATTTTGTGGTTTGGTTCCTTCAGGTAAAGCAGAAAGCGGCCGGCTTAATGGAAATGATGGCTTTTCTGCGGAGGAGAACAGAGGATGATGATAAGTTGCAACAGGAAATTGAAAAAGTGTTCCATGAACTCATGGTGTAATTTCAACTTTTCATCCATGTTCCTTTACACAGAGTCTAAGCTAGGGCTAAGTTAGATTGTGTTGTCATGGGGAGAGAAAGCTTACTCGCTGGTTTCCAGGTGGCACAGACTGGTCTCTCTTGCT